CAGAGTGAAGCACATCGACCTCAGGTATCATTTTATCAGACAAGCAGTGTCTGACAAAACGATTGAGCTAATCAAGATCGACGGTAAACTAATCTAGCTGATGCTTTAACCAAAGTTATTCCTTTGAAGAGTTTCAGGCGACATTGTGCTTCCATGCAGGTTGTGCTGTAAGACCGGGTGTTGCACATATGTACTAAGTCTTAGAAGTGGTCAAGTGATTAAGGATGATTAGTCAAGGCATAGCTAAGATTAGTTAGCTAGTTATGACTAAACTAGTTAGTTATAACTAAGTTTATCTAGTCATGACTAAGTTTAGCTACAATGTCTATAGTTGGCGGAATAATTAGCGGAGTTCTAGAAGAATGGAGTGAGCACTTCTATATTGTCTTTTACAAGGAGTGAGCACTTCTATTTCGTCTTATACAAAAGTTCTAGATTCCAAGTGATTAGATATTTGACTAGAAGCTTGGATTTGATTGGTTTGACTAAATGTATGAAAGATGATTGGCTAGACTAAGTCTAATGTTGACTTAGTGGCTAGGAAGCTTGTAGAAGTTTAAAAGCTTCCAATGGCATGTCGCCACCTCAACCTTGGATTCCGGAAGCTTTTAGAAGGTTTAGGTAGGCCAATGGCATGTTGCCACGTAGAGAGGGTTAGTCAAACTTACCTAGGTAAAAGTAAGTTAGGAGAAATTACCACATGTTACTATGGTAACTTCTCAAGTAGTATAAATAGAGAGGTAGAGTAGCAACTCTCAAGCAAGTTTGAAGAGTCATGTGTGAGGACTTGTTTCAGTAATGAAGGAGTGAAGTTTTTGAGTATCTTGGAGTATCGACGTGTGTTTGCGTTTATGTGAAGAGGGTGATGTGAGGAGAGTTTGTGTGTGAGTTGGAGTGATACATGAGAGTTTGTGAGAGAAGGTGTTTGGGACATGAGTGAGAGTATGAATCCTAGTCTTCTAGAACCATGATGCGCTACCACAAAGCCATCAGAGGTAAACCTAAGTGAGAGTCAGCCCGGAGGTTGCAGTGCATGGGAAACACATGTAGGATTTGCTAGCACAGTAACTTTAGTTATATCTTTATATATTTACTCTATCATGTGATGGCTACAGTTTAGCTCTAGTTAACTCTTGTGTTTTCGTGCGAATACGTATCGCCATACACTCTACATCCCTGACATGGTACTCACATACACATACGCACACATACACACATATAAGGCGCGAGAGAGTACACACTCAAATGTCACAACTACAGATTGATGCACGCACAGAGTGCAGTATAACATGGACCCGATGAATGAAGACATCGGATTTTCCACCTTGAACTAGCTTCGACAACTAAGCTCTCGTATCTTATTATCAGAGTTCACAATACTGAGTTGAAAACGTAAAGACCCTCTATCTTACGGAAATCCCAATATTCCAGTCCAAATTCCTCAGTCTATGGATTTTCAATGTACGGTAAAATCCATGAAATGTTTGCAGTTGACTCCAAAAAAACTTCAAACTCTCGGCACTAGTTTCCACAGCGAACCAACACGTTCATCGGTCGTGGTCTCATAGTGCATCGAAAAGCACAATTCAAAGCAGCCGCAGAAATCTAGATATTACTCAGCACTTACAATAGCCGGCTCCACGCACAAAATTCCGTAGATACAGAATCAAATCTTCACTTTCAGCGTTGCTCCCTCCACTCAGCAACACCATTCAATGCCGCCAAATTGCAATTTCTGCTTTCAAAGTATCGCTTTCTCCAATTACATAATTTTCTGGTTATTTTGTCTGTAAAAACGAGCGTTGTTTTTGGTGCGGCCTATTGCCTGAAACCAACAAATCAACGTCAAACGTAGAACAAAAACCTGACAACAAACATCGACGGATTCGATGTACACTAGTTCTTCGAGTGAAATAAACGAGAGATTCTCCACTGGAATTCTTGTCAGTCGTTTACCCTACTGGCAACAAACCGTCACTGTCACAAACATAGTCAAGCCCAACCCACTCCACACACGGAGATTCCAGGTCTGACGCTCACAGGCACTACTCCCAACGCGCTAGGCTCGACTCGAAGAACTGACGTTCTTTGAGTCTCCTTCGACGCTATACCCAACGACCTGAAACCCTAGGCTCAATGCTATTTTTAGTAAAACCGAAAACTACATGACAGTGTAAAGAGGGAGCTTGTATTAAGTTTTTGTCTAGAACTTCCCGCGGAGTAATTATATAGATTACGAGATCTCTAATCCTTCTATGCAAGCAGGTTTCCTATTTAACTCTTTATGTTATTACTCTATCCTGTTATGGCTACGGTCTAGTTCTAGTTAACTCTCGTATGAAGAGGGGCCTTTTGTTAGATTTTTGTATAGAACTTCCCGCTGAGTAATAATATAGGTTACAGATGTTACTGTTTCCATAACACGAGTTAAGGGGGAGATTGTTGAGATTAACTCCGGTTAAGGAGTAACCTCAGGTTATAGCTATTTATAGCTAGGTGTGTTGTTGGTTTTGGGTATAAATATACCTCCAAAGCTTCTACTAGAACCAAGCTTTTTTCAGTATTCAGTATTCAGTAAAGCTTCTCGTGCGCTTCATCTGTGGACGTAGCCTCTGAGGGTGAACCACGTTATATGAGTGTGTTGTGTGTTTCTTGAATGATTCCTCGGTTTTTGTTAAGAACAATGTCATCAAACACTAAACAAAAATCTTGTGTATATGTTATTAGCTATACTATGGATATGCTCTTATTTGACTATAGTGTGGAGGAGATTTTGCTTGGATTTTTTGCCAACAAAGTACAAACTGTCATCATGTAGAGACAAAGCAATTCAATGACAATTAACATATATACTTGAATTCACTCTGTATACTGTGATAAGACGTAAGCCAAAAAAATCACACAAGATGTCTTGAGAAGCATATGGAAGATATCAATATGCTCCATCAAAAATCAAAGAATGATCACCGTGTCATTACAATTCATAAATGGGTGAAAGTTTTGATTAAACAAGATTACAACAATCACACCTATTGCAACAATCCGTGTCTTTTTTCTCATTCTGCCTTGCTGCATTATCTTTGGTTGATATTAGAACATGAATGTTTTGTCACGTCTATGAAAACCATCGGATAAAAAATTACGTGTTGGAATAAGCTATTTGTGTTAAATAGGGATTCTATCAGGTAATTTTTCCATTTTCAATATATCAAAATAATACAATAAATCAAATATGCTTGATTTTCATGAGTTTATCATCTTTTGACTAACTATTTACAAAAATGAATTTGCAACACTCTTTAGATATATTTACTTCCAATGCAGGAAGCAAATTGTTTCTATCTCAAATATTGTCATGACTTTTTCTTAAGTTGATGTTGAGTTTACAAAGTTTAAAATACATATCATTATTTATAGTATCAATTTAATGTTATGTTAGTGGTGATTTAATTCATCCAAATTTATTGTGTTAACAAAAAATATTATTTTTAAAAAATAAAGAAAAATTATTTTGGATTCAATAGAACAAAATAACTATAAATTGAACATTTTAAACACTAAATTTTTTTGGATTAAATAAAATTTTATTTGGTGATTAAATTTTTTTACAAATCAAGTCAAAATAAATTAAACATTGTTTTTTTTAGCAAGATGATAATAATTTTAAACATTAAATATATAATATTAGGTTATGAAACAAATAGAAATATATGATAATTGTATTCTGTTGTTTGAAATTTGTGAATTGATTATTTGAAACTGACTGAAACTATGTTTTCAATGAATATCTTGAAACTGAGTTTTAAGATGAAAAAATACTTATATAATATTTTTTTATCACTTTGTTGTTTTTACTTCCTTTTATAGGTACTACTCTTCTTCATCATGTTATTATTGGACAAATAGCCTCAGTTGGTTTTCTCTTTTCTTGTTATTACGCCCATGCTTGTCAAAAAAGTAGAATCCAGATGAAGGAATTCTCGGGATTCCTTCTTAATGATTTCTTTCAACGAAAATAGCAAGAAAACTTCAATGAGAGCTCATGATTAAACTTCAAAATTTTGAAGAGATTAGAAATGGAGCAGAGTGTATAAACAAACTTGCATGCTTTATAAACCAAACATTCACAATTAAATCATGAATGTTTGTGGATTGATGATTTATGATAAAATATGATCATCTCATTCAAAGGTGTGATTATGAACCGAATGACAAGAATAATAGAGTTTTGAATTTCATTAATGATCGGTTTCAATTATCGTATAACATTTTATTATTCATTTTAGTTTTTAGTTTTAAATTAAATTTTGCAATTAAGATCACTCAAATCTAACCTCACATGTATATGAATGACTTTATACATGTTCTCATGACAATCATAGCATAATGTATTATTTTACTGAATCTTTCACATTCAAGAATCATAAATCTTCATTCAAAATTCAAGATGAAATGAGAATTTATTTATAATCGAAGATTACCAATATCAATACTTCAACACTTATCAATATTTTGAAATTCAACCTGTATCTCTAATAGAAATGATTATTCGTCGGTATATTCTTTCTAATTGTTTAGAATAAAGTTAACAACACTCCCATCTCTGCCACACTTCCAAGTCGCCATTCGTTCACACGAACACTGGTTATGTGAACAAACATCACCCATTTTGGTATAAATTGTGATTCAGGCTATTCATCGTCTTCTTGACTAGCATCTCATTGCTGTGTGTAAAATCTGATTAGAAACATGATAAGAATGATTGTCAACTTTAGCTTCCAGCAGGTTTGATGAACTGCAGAACGTGACACAGCCGCGTGCAGAATGTAGGCATGATTTGTCTAATGTGCTAATCAGTATTAGCTTATCATATAATGAGAATCAGAGACCACTGCCGGTGATTAAGCGGGGCTAGTCGTAGCAGTGTATGCAATCTTTACTTTTTCATAGACCAACACGCAGTGTGAGATGATCACAAACTACCGTCCGAGAACAAAGTGCAACGATTGATACTTCTGGTCTTCAAATTACTTAGAGCTCGTTTTGGCAACATGGTACAGTACATGATGGCTCCAGCTTTTGCTGGTACTAAAGTTGACTAAATTGAACCGTGGCTAACAGTCCAAAGAACCGCCATCGATGCCACCTCGTTCGATCGATTTCTCTACCTCAATCTTTGCAACACGTAAAGTTACTCATCTACACAATTATCTATCAACTCCCACACAAGCTGCTCATTTCCCGGAGTGTTTGAGACCAGAGAGCACTGAACTTGCTATACAACCAACCCAATGAGGGCTTTTAAATGAGCGGCGGGTAATTTATGGGACAAAACAGTCCTAATCGCCTTCCCTGAAGGACTTCCCTATTTCTTGCAAGCATGAAGTTTCCTCGGTGTGGTAATCCTGAAGTCACTTGACTTCGCTGAGAGAGCGAGGGAAAGTCTTTCATTATCACTTCTTCAAGTCTTCATATACAACGAATAGAGAAGGACGACATACAATTTACTCGTGAAAATGTCCTCCAGTGGCGCATGTAAGGTTAACTCTAACCTTTCGGTCGAACTGAACTTCGATTTTGAGAGTGGGCCTTCGACAGAAATTCAACGACGGACACCCAAATGGAACACAGCCCGAACAGATAAGTCCAGATAGTTAATCACAGCCCGAACAGATAAGTCCCCGCCGGCCTCGTCTTGCTTGCGAACTATGAAGAACCAGTAGCTTAACAAAAGCAACAGGAACATCAACATGTAAATTCTCCATCCTGCACCACAAATTTGACTCCATGAGCAAATAGTATGGCAATAACAAAGAAACAATCTCCACGATTCGAAAATCGTTTGTAACAACCGAATAGTTATTAAGATGCATCGGTTGCTTTTCTTACGGATCTTTGGTGATGTCTTGTGTCCCATGCAATGACGGCAGCTTAAGAAATAGGAGGTTTCAAACACTTAAACAAGATTCTCACCTTCCCGCTTGGTTGGTTCCGATATGGCTGTGACGCGAGCACTGGAGTCACCTGACACCGACAAGAGAGCTCTGCATCGGAAACATTTAGAAGAGCTTCATCAAACGATCCTGGATTGATCAACTCGTACTCCTCAGGAAAGTCTATATGTGAACTGACTTAATTGTAAAGGCACACACTTCAGAGAGGACAGACCTGCTATTGGGTGAGAACTCCATGGATGTGACAAAAACCATGTGCGCACTCTTCACCTGCATTACAACCCCCAAATTGTTGGCATTCAAGACTTTCACGTCTCCTTCGGAATTTCCACTGCCAAAAGGTGAAACATTATAAGTACACGCCACTCTTAGTTTGCCGAAGTCAACGCAATACAAGCCTATTAAGTGTTACTGCAAGATAAATAAATCTACACCGACCCTTGGACAAGTAAAAAAATGAGGCAAAAGTGAGAGGAATTTACATTGCAAGAAACCTCCCGTCTGGGCTTATGGCGAAGGCTGAGATTGGATATTCAGACAGTCTCTTCGAAGTAGACATTTTCCAAGTTGTGGAATTCCATATAGAGATCACCCCTTTACTGCCTACATTCAATACAGAGGAGAAAAGCATCAGATGTCAGGCTTGCAATCTTAAGCTCCAATTTATAAGACATACGACAAATCATGAATATGTTGATCTAAGTCACTAAATAGCTGAAGGATCAACTAAAAAGAGGAATTTACGGAGTCCATTTCAAGCTGCTAGCCGTAGGATCAAGCAGCTGCTTCAACAGCAAAACTTTAAAATGTAAATAACTTACAATCAAAACGGCGAGAGAGCACAAAATCTATGCACTGAAAACAATAGGCCATGTGTACAGTAGGAACAAAAAGTTGACATACGAATAAATAACATAGGCAACTTAAGCAGAACGGCAGCATGGATAACAGCAGCGAAAGTGCTATAGAATCCGCATATCAAGACCAAAACTCCAGAACGCTAAAACATCTTACACCCTTGAAAATGATCGCTAATGTTGCTTCCAGTACATTCAAGAGACCAAGTGTCAAGAGTACTCAGACACTACCCTCCAAAGCGGAGGCCGACACAAATCAAGAAAAATATTGAGGAGAGAACTAAAGAAAGTCAGAAGCTGTGATGGACTTCATCCGCTAGTCAAGAAACCCACCTTCCCTCATAGTAATAAAAAGGAATGGTTTGGTTCCATCTCTCGAAAATCGACAAAGCCCAAGGTTTGCACCCTATATCAACAACAAAAGAAAATTATATAAGGATAGTGGTGAAACAATATTCTACTCCAAGCAGAACATTTACACAAGTTTATCAATAAGAGATAACCACCTAATCCACTCCTTAAAATAAGAACATATCAAGCAACAAATGGCTACCAGAATACGTGTGAAGGATCGAGGTAATAAGGGAGATTCTACAAGACCAAATTGCTGCGAAAGCCCCATTGAGTTCAGCCAGCTAACAAACATGAAAGTATATAAGTCACAGAAAGAACTGCTAGAATGTGGACGCTGCAGTCTACTGGAAATGTGCCAATTCACAGAATTTACACCTTCAGTCACCGCGTACATTTGATATTGAAGAATATTTAGTTTTGTAACATACACAGTAGGCTACTTCCTGACTAGCCTGTTGTATAGTTCTTCAAAACACACTTAGCTTACCTTACTGGCCGACAATGAGGTCACTGCAGACGCCTTTGACAGGTCCCAAACACGGCAGGGACCAGCGTCTCCGGTTGAGACCAAAAGCGATCCATCCAAGCTACAAAAGATACAAAATGAAAAGTGATTAGATTTTCCTAAAGTGGCGTGTTACAATATGAGTTTGTGCGCATGTTTAAGCCGAACTTAAGACTCTTTACCCACTACAGTCAGACAACCAAGTCATTCACACTTGGAGTCCTCATAAGCACCCACTTAGATCTACATACTTGTATGTATACTTGTTTTTCGAACTAGAGCACAATTCCGAGCCTACCACTTTGTGCGGTATCTAAAAGCCACTCAAGGTAACTCGAGATGAAATCAAAATCCCCATTCATGCGAACATGAACGGAAAATCCTTCACTAAAAGCTATTCTTTACAGAAGTATCACTTCATATGGGCAATTTGTAATGACTGCATCTCTGTTGTGCATGTTAGATCCAGTTCTACCTATAGGAGTAAGACCAGTTAAACTCTCTATACAATACCTGAAATCTATGTCTTTAACTGCAGTATGTGCGCCTGCCTGATCCATAACCAACTCCAAACTAGGCCACTCAAAGACACGAAGATGACCATCCTGCAACCGAAACGTCTAAGGTTAAAAAATTTAAGCATAAGAAATGTAAGCATTTGTTCGTTGCAACTTTCAGAAATTGAGCACGTGAAGACACCGCAGGTGTATTATCTCAGTGCACAAATCACAGAGCATCTTCTCAGGCCCATATACTACACGAGTCTGAGGAGAGCAAGGATGGAATATTCATCACATGTTCCTACTTTCACTCAAAAAGCAGGTAAAAAGTAAACCAAAATTCGCCAAATCCTTTAAATGTACTACCTCTCCACCGGTGGCCAACCGTGTGCCATCCCCACTAAAAACCAAGCAATTTTGCTCGCCGATATCTTGCAGCGGCTGTACAACTCTCTTTGATACTTCTAACTTCAAGTCTTCTTCGGCGTTCAACTCGAGTAGCCTGCAGAACGAGAACAAAAGTCGACCTAAGTACAATTTCCAGACAACGACGAGGCATACGAGTTTGCAACACAACGTTGTCCTAAAAGTGTGCTCACTAACATTTGACCGTCACAGACTGTTATGCTTATGGGACAAATTTTCGAAAGTAACATGGCTGCGACGTTGTAATCGAGGCGAAATAAAAATCAAAAACTGGCTACTGTTCAGTAGTTAAGTTCGCAATTCATAAGGATAAAATTTCGCAACGGGCATCTTGCCTGCTGCGAAATGTGATCATTACCAGTTAGGTCATGGTCATTCTCAGAATCCAAAAGAAGGTCCCAGAATAAACCACTACATTACCTGCAATCCTTGGAGATGGAACAGACAATCTTATTGCTACCTGGGTGCACTGCCAAACGATACGGAGGATCATCATCCGTAGATAGGGTATACACCTGCGTCCAACAAACTCACATGTTAAACTCGGAGTATTTCTTACTCATACGACCAACCGATAGACAGCAATAAGTCAGTTCAATCCTTACAACAAGTACAAACTCCAACGATCCGCCCTGGCTGGACAGTGCTGAGGTAGGAAGATACAATTTTAGATACACCAGACCTACAGATAAGTCATGATTTCGTGACACTGAGCAAAGGATCAAATAATCATGAGAAATGAGCATGACGCATTTGAAACTGTGAAGCACCCTTAAGGAGAGATAAACTGAGAGAATCGGACAGCTAACCTACATCAGAATGAAACGACGAGAGTAGTTCACAAGCAAACGCCAGGTTGGACGACGATAAGCTCACACAAGCCTCAACCAACAGGTGCAGCCATAGTGACGAATGTGTATATTAGATAACAAACGCAAAACTATTTAATGATTTAAGTGGACAGTATCCTCGGAAAAAAAAATCTCAATCCTTCTCAGAACAGAATCCAGAAACCATCACTCACCGCTTCTGACAGCATGTCCGAGGCAAAATCATAATGAGCCAGCAGCAATTTGTTTTTCACCCCGCTCTTCCGATTCCCACCTCCACCTCCGAACACAACGTGCGCGACGCCAGCTCCATCATCTGCTGCTGCCCCGTCCTCCTTGTTCCGAGGCTTTGGAACAACAGCAGCGGTCCACGCAGCACAGAACAACGGCAGATCATACTTGCGCGAGCAGGTCAAATATTTTTTGCGCTTACTCATTTCTTATCCACGGCACAAATCAATCGCACATGAGAGTGTGCGATTGATCCGCAAGAACGATAGGCAGCGGCGATGGTGACTAAACCCGACCTACTCAAATGATGGGCGCTTGCAGATCTCCAACCAGGCACCAGAAACTTTCCAAATCAAGCCCCTCTATTTCATCAGGTGACAACAATTCATTGTCTGACCATTGTGGTAGGCCCCTGCTAAAGTCAGAGAAAGGATGCACCTTCTTCTGCTGGTTAACTGCCCTCTTGACAGACCCTGAATCTCGATGACTGTCACCTGCAGCGGCGATGGTGACTCCCTCGCCTCCGCTTGCAATTGCAAGCAGTAAACGGGCCACGGCACAAATCAATCGCCCATGAGAGTGTGCGATTGATCCGCAAGAACGATCCGATCCGATGAAGGCAGCGGCGATGGTGACTCCCTCGCCTCCGCTTGCAATTGCAAGCAGTACACGGGCTGGAGACGCTGTATGCGAAGGAGCTGTCCGGTTCTGCGTTCGACTCCGACACTGCGTTCGACTCCGGCACTGCGTTCCTGCCAACCAATAAAACCAAAAGTCCAATAAGCCCTCCCACGCTAAATGATAACATTATATATAAATTAATTCTTATTTGTGCAATTGATATATAGTTCTAATCTTTTGAATTTTTAGAATTATAACATTTTAATTTTACTCAAACGCGCGTTATAATTTTTTTTCAGAATTTTTTATATCATGATTTTCAGATATATTAAAAAAATTTATTTATCAAATAAAAATGTAATTATTTTTTAAACTATTAATTTTTATTTTTTATTTAAATCAAATCTAGTTCAAAAAAGGATTCATATTAAAATACTATTTCATTTGATAAAATTGAAATATGATTTTTTTAATATAGAATATTTCCATATATTTATCAACATAATTATTTCAGTAATCCAATCTCATATATCACAAAAATGAATATTCAATTGAGTGAGTTTTTACTTTATACAACTTATTGTCTTCTCAATTCTCAACTTTATGTAATTTATTTGAATTTCAGTTTTGAAATTAATGAAAAAATTGAAAAAAAATTCTTTTTTTGCAATAATCTAAATTTTAGATAATATTAATTACTAAAAATTCATATTTTGATACTCATGAAATATAGTTTAAATGTCAACATCATTCAAAAGTTAAATCTGACATAAACACAAAATCTCATTATAATCAAAATAATATGATTTGATATGATATATGATTAACATTATGGATAATAATTTGCAAAATATTCAATAAAATATGCATGATTCTTTGAGTTTATATATACATAATATTGTTACTTGTCAAAATTGTGTTCAATACTAATAGTAAATACACTTTTTTATTAATGCCACAAATACTAAATTCAATTGTTTAATCTTTAATTGCATAATTCATAATCTATAAAAATCAAAAACCAAATAATTAGCTATTACTTCCTATGAATCAAATTCGAACTAAATTTTTCGTCTGTTTTACAATTTTTAGTACTATATTTTTGTATGTTTGATATATATTTGATGTTATACATATAATTTTGAATATAATATTCATAAAATCAAGAAATTTTTTCATAAATCAAGGATTTTTTAGCTACTTTTTTTTAAAAAATTTGTACGATAACATATAAAAACATATATCCGATTAAATCTAAATTTTTAACTATATATTGTTCATATTTAATTCAAATTAGAAGTCATTTCTGTTTTGAATACATAATGAATTGAAATTTAAAATTATATAGAAGAAATAGTATCTTTGATTTGTGTACTTTTGTCGGAATTATTTAATAATGCTATTTATATAAGAAATATTTTCATTCACATAAATTTGAAATTAACTATTTAATCGTCAAAATAATTTTGTAGAAAAAATATTTTCATTATTATAGACGTTCATTTTTTTCATGGATTATATGATTAACATAAACAAAGATCAATATTTTAATACATTGTATTGGATAAAAGAACCTAAATCAAATGTGGTATTAATATTTGAAATAATTCTAACTAATATTGTTATTTAAAAATATATATAGTCTTATCCAAATATTTTAAAATTTGCATGATAATATGTTTGATATTAAATCTGAATCTGATTAGAAAATTAAATTTTATGTCAATGAATGTATCAATTGAAAACATTTATGTCGATCTTTCATTTTATTTCATAAAATTGAATATTGCAACTTGCAATGTAATTAATTTCAACTTGCTAATTGTCTAAATTGAAAATTTTCCTAATTTTTAAAAAAATTCCAAAAAAATAATCTTACATTTTTTAAATGAAATAATACTATTTAAATTGTTATTTAAAATTATATTTATGTAAAGTAAAAAAAAGAAAAAAATATGAATTAAAATCTGAGACAAATTTCATCAATGGCATCACTACTTTCATTGAGTTGAAAATTCGATGAATAATAAAAACCATATATATATTATAATATTTAAATTAAGAGTTTTGAAAAGTTCAGTGAAATCAAAATTAAGGCTTAATTTTTTTTGAATTGTGATGTAATGTGATTTACTTTAAGGTTAAATGCAAGCATCTTATTCCAATGATATCATTACTTATTTTGATTGATTTAAGCAAATTTTTGTTAATTTTGAAGTTTCAAATATCTGAATGCTTATCAAAGTTTCATTTACATACATATTAAATTAATGATTTTAATGATCCTTTTATATCAACTTTCTTGAAAAATATATCAAATTAAATTGTGGAGTTAAGTAAAATCGACTACATGTAGAATTTTAAATCATTGAAAGATTTTTTATAGCTTTTATTTTTTTAATATTTTTTTTAATTTTCCCCAAATATCAATCACTTGTATTTTATATTTTGAAATTGTAAATTATGAAACTTGCTGGTTTCATGTGACGATGTACAGTACGGAAAAAATCAAGAAATAAAATATCAATTTTTTTATGATTTTTATGAAATCATTTTTTCATGACTTTTAATATTTTTTTCATTTTAATATAGTTTTTACTGTTCATTATGACTTTAAAATTACATCACATGCTCTTTAATTTGATACTTTGTTATAATTGGAAAATGTGTAATAATTTTTACACAAAATCAAGTATATTGTAGCTCATTTGATATCCTACTGATTTATATGTCTTAAATTTCTGGATTCATCTCTAAATATTCATTTTCTATTCTTATAATTGTATGTGTATTTTCTAAATTTCAAACCAAATTTTTTTTGTTTCTTTATGTTCTTTTACGTCTTGAGAATAGTTTTATTTTTTTGTGTTCTAAATATTTATTTATCATAAAATAATTTTAATATGTTAAGATTCATCTATCAATATATGTCGAAACAATGAAAAAATATCTTATTCTTTTTGAAATTCTTCAACAAAGCTTTCAAAAAATAAAAGTTACATAAGACTTTGTGATTTTAATATCAGATTCAAAATATGGGCTTGAAATTTTATTTATTATCTTTCCTTTTATCTTTTTTTCAAAGGAAAAATTTATGATTATTTCGATGATTACTTTCTATTTTCTTTTGTTTAAAAAACCTATGATGTATTCAATTTATAAACTTTTACCTCAACTTCTTGAGTAAATATCTTTAAATGTTTGATAAAGTCATATCATTGCCAATCTTTTGCATTAATCCACTACTTGCTTTGATTTCAGATATCTCATGAATTTCATGGTGATATCCATGATACATACATATTATCAGAGGGCTAGCGGGAGTAAGGGTGCAAGTTATTGCCATTGCCAATTTGCAGTTTGTTGGAGTCTAAAGTGCTATTGAGTTTGCTATTGTCATCTGAGAAGTATCAAATACTTATTAACTGACATGCTTCACGGTCTTGATCGAGACAAATGTCTCTCGATCTTTTGCAATTCTGAAACCTAGGCATAAGAGATTCACTAATCCTTTTCGCTGTCTGTACTTGATCTGCATACTAAATTTTATGTTTATCAAATTTTATGTTTATGGTCGACATGTTCTTGGTTCGTTCTGGCTCATCACGATGTTCCATGTCGGACTGCAGATCATTTACAGAATGAGGTGAACAATGGGTTCATCAGATTCTTAGTTTTTCATGCATCTAAGTGTTCTTCGACATACACAGCTGGCGGAATTGTCAGACTCCACACAATTCCACATCAGAACATAACCGGGCGACTGCTGCTTGGGTACTCTCAGTTGTAAGAGACTTACCTTGATGTGCAGTTAGTTCGTGTCGGAACTTAATCTGAGATCCTGCATTAGGAATTTTGAATACAGAGTGTGTCGAAGCACACTAGAATAAAGCGAGCTTCAAGTGGCCAAACGACGGCGATTTGACAAAAGGCCGTCAGAAAACCGTCAATCAGGGAACCTGCTGGTTGATGATTATGCTATCAAGTCTCAAGAGTTTGGTATTTGTCTACAGCCAGACTTCTCGGTGGCAGTCTCGTTCACCTTCTAGTGTACATATATAAAAAACACCTATGGTCTTGAAGATGGCTGACATTTTGACAGGCGTAAATCACTCTTTTAGGTTCTGAGACCACACTACAAAGGCTACATGCTAGTGAGCACTGAGTGTCATATCATTCATAGCTTTAAGCATGCTCGCTTAAGTTTGTAGTGTAGTTTTTATGTGCTCAGTATGCTCCAGAGGGACTGTGGACTGATGAATATTTATCGAAGAATTCGAAAATCCCGAATCTGGATAATCCATGTGGCCAGAGAAAAGTTTTATCTACTGTGGTCCCACGAACACGGTCGTCGGGAGAATCTAAGCATTTTGGTCGATGTGGAGAAACATCGACACTGTGTGAACCTGAAGCGCATGCACGAAAGTTGAGCATCTTGACACTAGACTAGCTCATGATCGACATGGTGGAAGAATAGTCAATATCAAAGAGTCAAGGGTCAAACGTGGGTTTCTATTCTGTATCTTAGAAGCAGAACTGACAAAAAACTACTCGTTGTATGCATGAGACCAAGCCCACTTGATTCTATTGTCACCTTAGGGAGACTTGGACTTAGTGCTGAACAGGATGTACTGAGGACTCGAGCACAAAAAATCAGTGAAAAATCTCAACTTGTCTGATACTTTCATCCCCTGACGTGCTTATAATTCCTATTCGTGATTAGCTTCAATGCAGAAGAGAGATAGCAACCAACATACGAAGGATAGTGAAGAAAAAACATTGCAGCTGAAATAAGATATGGTGGAGTGAGGGTATTGCGCTCCAACGAGAAAAATAACGAATAGCGTCAACAACACACAAAATGGGAGCAGTTCGTTCGTTTAAGCAATAAAGTTGGGGTTGCAGGCAGATGTCTGCGTGCATAACGAGAGTGTGCCTGTAACTCTGCACGCAGATTCTCAATGGGATGAAATTTGGAGGCCCATAATTTAGAATATTGTGGCAAAACCACCTAGAAACAGATAACGAAGGTCAGCGAAGAAAAAGGTAAATTTGGGCTTGGTATGTGCATTGTACAGTGGTGATGACATACCAAGTTTAGACCTTCCAAGAGGAGTGATTCTGTCT